AGCTCCTCACTCCTACACCGGCCAATATCATTGCCTCCTGTACTAAGGCAGATAATGGGTTTGTTCCCATTGCCAGACAAGATATTGTCCATCCTGTCAACTATATCCCCGACCCCAGCTCCTGGCAAACACACTTGCATCCTATTTTTATTTTTACCACAAAAAGCTCTATCCAGGTACTGTACCTGGGAATGTCCAACAATTAAGGTTTTTGTACCTTACTTGTCAGTCCTGTCCCTGACTATGTTAGCATCCAATTCGTCTATCAAAGGACTAAAAGTTTTTGTTGCTGTATCCTTGGTGTGTTTTCTCACCACCAGTTTGGTCGTTCCTCTCCTCACAACCCTCCTTTCGCCTGTGTCTTCGTCAGACACGGTCTTTCCTTGTCATATGTCTTCCTCCCTCATCCTCACAATCACTTCCTCTAATTTCAAGTTTTCGTTCTTGACCTTCACTAACTCGGCCCTCTGAAGGGCACAGACCTGCTCACAACTAGCACTAGTTATTACTGACAATTTATCCCCGGGAGTTAAATCAGCCATGACCTTACCTCTAGCAAGGTCAGAACACAATTGTACAAGGTCAGAACACAACTGATAATAACGTATGAAACTGTTAAACTGACTAATGTTCGTGAACGACACTTTTTTATACTCTTAAAAACTATGAAAAAATATGAAAAAGAATTTTGAGTTTATCTGTGTGAAAAAAACGTTGACACTTATTAAAGATTAGGAGTTAACTAAATCTTTTGAATTCATCGTTTATTTTCTGTTAATCCTTTGAGCTTAGTGATACTTTTAACATAACTCTATATTTACGACAGATCCTGAGTGTTCTATGTAAACTAAACGAAGACCACTAACTGGCTATATCAAGGTGCAGGAGTAGTCAAATGAGCTCCCATTATAATGTTTATATTCATTGCAGATTATAACACTATGGCCTTGTATCATCCAGAGCCTAGCTGACTTGTTACCATAGGTGATAGGTGTGTGTGTGGTGGTAGGGAATGCCCGTAAATTGTGATCAATGGTATAAAGTGGTAATAAGTAATATATCTGTCTGGGTGTGGTGGAGAGCAGCGCCTACAGGATGTGGTCAATGGTACTGGGGTGTGAGCGGCAAGATCGAGCTGTGGAATAATGTGGACCCTGGCGACAAAAACTGGTACTACATCGACGACCAGGACTATGCTGTGTGTGTCCGCTGGGAGGCTGGCTACTGTAGTGTGAGTACTACACCGCTTATCTTACGGTACCTTAGGTTACCCTTACTTTAGGATACCCACACACCTCCACCTTGTACCCACACACCTCCACCTTGTACCCACATACCTCCTGCTTGTACCCATACACCTCCTACTTGTACCCACACACCTCCTACTTGTACCCACACACCTCCTACTTGTACACTCCACACTTGTACCCCACACACCTTGCCTCCTACTTGTACACACACACCTCCCACACACCCCTCCTGCCCACACCTCCTGTACACCACACCTCCTACTTGTGCACACCACCTACCACCCTGCTCCCTACTCCCACCCACACCTCCTACTTGTGCCCACACACCTCCTACTTGTAACCCACTTGTACCCACACACCTAATGCCCACACACTCCACCTTGTGCCCACACACCTCCTACTTGTACCCACACCTTCTCCTTGTACCCACACACTCTTGTGCCCCACACACCTCCTGTACCCCACACCTCCCCTTGCTCCCCCACACTCCTACTTGTGCCCACATGTACACCTCCTGCTTGTACACACACACACTACCTCCTGTACCACCTCTACTTGTGCCCACACACACTTGTACCTCCACACACACCTCCTACTTGTGCCCACACCTCCCTGCATCCACATACCTCCCTCTCACACCTCCCTCAACCCCATCTCCTCCTTCCCCCCTCCACATCTCCTCCTTCACATCCCCTTCAACCCCATCTCCTTAGGCCCACATCTCCTCCTTCAACCCCATCTCTCCCCCCTTCAACCCACAATCTCCTCCTTCAACCCCAAATCTCCTCCTTCAACCCCATCTCCTCCTTCCTTTACATCTCCTCCTACATCCTCCTTCAACCCTCTCCTTCTCTCCTTCAACCCCACTCCTCCTCACTCCTCTCCAACCCCTCTCCTCCTTCAACATCTCCTCCTTCAACCCCTACATCTCCTCCTTCCAACCCACATCTCCCTTCACCCATCTCCTCCTTCCTCTACATCTCCTCCTTCAACCCACATCTCCCTTCCTTCACCCACACATCTCCTCCTTCCTTCCCATCTCCTCCTTCAACCCCATCTCCCCCTTCAACCCATCTCTCCTTCAACCCCACATCTCCTCCTTCCACTCCAACCCCTCTCCTCTCAACCCACACATCTCCTCCTTCCATCTCCTCACAACTCACACATCTCCTCCTTCATCTCTCCTTCAACCCCATCTCCTTCAACCCCACATCTCAACCCCACATCTCCTTCAACCCCCATCTCCTCCTTCCTTACATCTCCTCCTTCAACCCCATCTCCTCCTTAACCCCACATCTCCCCCTTCTCCTTCACCACACATCTCCTCCATCTCCTCCTTCACATCTCCAACCCATCTCCTCCTTCAACCCACATCATCTCCTCCTTCAACCCCTCTCCTTCACCCCATCTCCTCCTTCATCTCCTCTTCCTTCACATCTCTCCTTCCTTCATCTCCTTCCCACATCTCCTTCAACCCCATCTTTCCTCCTCCACATCTCCTCCTTCAACCCCACATCTCCTCCTCTCAACCACATCTCCTCCTTCAACCCCATCTCCTCCTTCTTCCTCCTCCTTCCCCACATCTCCTTCCTTCCTCCCCTCCTTCAACATCTCCTCCTTCAACCCCCACATCTCCTCCAACCCCCCAATCCTTCTTCTCCTTCCCCAATTCTTCTCTCCTCCTTCAACCCCCATCTCCCCTCTCAACCCCACATCTCCTCCTTCCCTCTCCTCCTTCCTCCCCTTCCCCCCCATCTTCCTCCTTCAATCCACATCTCCTCCTTCCCCATCTCCTCCTTCCTCTCCCTTCAATCCCACATCTCCTCCTTCAACCCCACATCTCCTCCTCCTTCCTCCTCCTCTCCTCCCCCCCCATCTCCTCCTTCAACCCAACCCACATCTCCCTCCTTCAATCTCCTCCTTCCAACCCCTCTCTCCTTCAACCCCACATCTCCTCCTCACCCATCTCCTCCTTCAACCCCATTCACACATCTTCCTTCAACCCCCATCTCCTCCTTCAACCCCATCTCCTCCTTCATCTCCTCCTTCCACAAACCCACATCTCCACACACATCTCCTTCAACCCACACTCTCCTTCAACCCACACATCTCCTCCTTCAACCCACACATCTCCTCCTTCAACCCCACATCTCTCCTTCAACCCATAATCGCTCTCCTTCAACCCCATCTCATCTCCCTTCAACCCACACATCTCCTTCAACCCACATCTCCTCCTTCCCAACCCACACATCTCCTTCAACCCCACACATCTCCTTTCAACCCCACATCTCCTCCTTCCAACCCACATCTCCCTTCTTCAACCCCACATCTCCTCTCCTCCTCCTTCAACCCACATCTCCCTTCAACCCACTCTTCCATTATGGGTAAAACTTCGTAAGCAGATAATGAGATTTTTCCGTTATATTCCAACGATAAGCACAAGACTTGTTTACATTTCACAAAATTATATCCTTTGTATAGTACAAGACTGAGAACAAGTTCTATACTCTCATCGGATTCTCTGATGTTCATAGATCAAAATGATGTTACTTCAGTTTTTAATTGGTGATTTACAGCTGGCTGGTGAGTACTCAAATGCCAACGTCTTAACAGGATCTACTCTACAGTACACACACAGATATTTGGTGCCTTCAACATACACTCAGTCCACCTAGAATGCTTTATCTCACCTGATTTAATGTAAAATAATTCATTCACTCTCAATTTCAAATCTCTGAACACCATAAAGGGGTATTGAGAAATATCTGAGCCTCGGAGGACTAAGATCTTAAAGGGGTGACTGATCATTTGATCTTAGGGGTGACTGATCAGTTGATCTTAAAGCTGTGACTGATCAGTTGATCTTAGGGGTGACTGATCATTTGATCTTAGGGGTGACTGATCATTTGATCTTAGGGGTGACTGATCAGTTGATCTTAGGGGTGACTGATCAGTTGATCTTAAAGCTGTGACTGATCAGTTGATCTTAGGGGTGACTGATCAGTTGATCTTAGGGGTGACTGATCAGTTGATCTTAAAGGGGTGACTGATTAGTTGATCTTAGGGGTGACTGATTAGTTGATCTTAAAGGGGTGACTGATTAGTTGATCTTAGGGGTGACTGATCAGTTGATTTTAAAGGGGTGACTGATCAGTTGATCTTAAAGGGGTGACTGATCAGTTGATCTTAAAGGGGTGACTGATCAGTTGATCTTAAAGGGGTGACTGATCAGTTGATCTTAGGGGTGAATGATCAGTTGATCTTAAAGGGGTGACTGATCAGTTGATCTTAGGGGTGACTGATCAGTTGATCTTAGGGGTGAATGATCAGTTGATCTTAGGGGTGAATGATCAGTTGATCTTAAAGGGGTGACTGATCAGTTGATCTTAGGGGTGACTGATCAGTTGATCTTAGGGGTGAATGATCAGTTGATCTTAGGGGTGAATGATCAGTTGATCTTAGGGTGACTGATCAGTTGATCTTAAAGCTATGACTGATCGAAGTTGATCTTGAGGAGTGACAGTCAGTTGATCTTAGGGGGTGATGATCAGTTGATCTTAAGGGTGACTGATTAGTTGATCTTAGGGGTGTGACTGATTAGTTGATCTTAAAGGGGTGACTAGTTAAGTTGATCTTAGGGGTATTGGTCAGTTGATTTAAAGGGGTGACAGTCAAGTTGATCTTGAGGTGACTGATCAGTTGATCTTAAAGGGTGACTGATCAGTTGATCTTAAGGGTAACTGATCAGTTGATCTTAGGGGTGAATGATCAGTTGATCTTAAAGGGGTGACTGATCAGTTGATCTTAGGGGTGACTGATCAGTTGATCTTAGGGGTGAATGATCAGTTGATCTTAGGGGTGAATGATCAGTTGATCTTAAAGGGGTGACTGATCAGTTGATCTTAGGGGTGACTGATCAGTTGATCTTAGGGGTGAATGATCAGTTGATCTTAGGGGTGAATGATCAGTTGATCTTAGGGGTGACTGATCAGTTGATCTTAGGGGTGACTGATCAGTTGATCTTAGGGGTGACTGATTAGTTGATCTTAGGGGTGAATGCTGGTCATTTATGTACAGTACAAGAGAACCTACATTCAACTACACCAGACAGCTGAACCTGAAGTGGTCCAACCGATTTTATGGAGCTTAAATGAAGCAGTTCAGTATTATGAACCTGACCTGAACCACTCACTGTGAACCCTCTAGAACCGCCCTACTAACAGCTTCTATCCACAGGTCACGTACTCTGAGGCTACTAGATTCCAACCTCGGTGTGATGACTTGTTCGAGAGGCCTGGTGAAACTAGTCTTCAGGACGCGTGTATTAACAGCCCTCCTTCTGACCCAGTGAGTGCCCTGTGTGTGTGTGTGTGTGTGTGTGTGTGTGGTATAAGGCTATGGGAGTAAACCCTGAACGAAAAATCTGCGGTGGAGCCCCGCATCAGGCAGACATGCGTACAGAGCTCCTACAAGACCCCGACTGCGGTATAGACGGAAGAGGTGACCACCATGGGAACCCAAGGACTATACCGGCGAATGAAGGCAATGCATGATGGACAGGCTACTAAGGTGAAACCCAACAAACTGGGCTATCGGCAGGCAGTCCATTGCAACTCTCTCTCTCTCCAGTCGTTGCAATGCTTGCACCACTGGATCAGGAAAAGGGAGAACCAAGATGTGTGGTTGCAGCCTGCGCTCCTGCCTCACCACATAAATCAACTCATGTGCAGCCATCACCCAGCTCATCATACCGATGGCGATGGACGAGTGACGACGGGTGTTGTGTTGGGACACTGGGCTGGGTGTGGTGTTGGGACACTGGGCTGGGTGTAGTGTTAGGGAGACTGGGCTGGGTGTGGTCTTAGGGACACTGGGCTGGGTGTGGTGTTAGGGAGACTGGGTTGGGTGTGGTGTTAGGGAGACTGGGTTGGGTGTGGTGTTGGAACACTGGGCTGGGTGTGGTGTTAGGGAGACTGGGCTGGGTGTGGTGTTGGGACACTGGGTTGGGTATTAGGGTGTGTTATAGGAGGGAAGATCAGCTAAAACTAATGGCCCAACACTTTTTTGGTAGATTTTAGTGTATATAAACAGAAAATAATTTCAGTTTCAATATTTTGCAACCTTTTGCTAGGTAAATTTTAGCGTGAAATTTATCGAAAATCTAACGTACAGCTGCATTAGTACATTACAATTAAATAGTGAACATTGCTTTCTGACTTCATTCTTTAACAACCCAACTAACAATATTTTTTTCTGTTTCAGATTCTGATGCATTTATAAGTTGATAATATTTGCGATGGCTGCTTGTGTCAGGACGAGGAACCAAAAATCCAGCCATCTCAGTCACTATCTTGGGTCTGGGAGAGAGCTCCTGAAGTCGGAGTTGCCTACATTGAGAGATGCTTTGAGATACGGTGTTTTAATCAGGCAAATCAGTGAAAAGAACCAAAGAACTTACACAAACAAAGACATTGCCAGTGATATGACCAAAGCTGTCTTGGCACAGTACACTCTGGCTAAGCTCAGTTCAAGCCTCCAGTCATAACAAGTCAGAAGATTAGTGAGAGACTGCTAGCCAGTTGGGAAAAGGCAAGAGATATCTCTCTTGGGAGAGGAAAACTTGCAGTTAAGGACAGCTTTGCCAAGCAACTGGACCAGTTATTTGACATAATTACTTGCAAGTGCCCAATTGTTCTCTGTCCTGAGTTTGGATGCGATCGTGACTGTAAATCCGAGGCCCACATCTCCTGTATTTGCAAGCGTAAACTGAAGATTCCTGTGATCGAACTGGCATTTGTCAAAGCACAGAGAGAGAAGACTGGCAGTATAGGGGCTCTCATGATTTCTAGCCAAGATATTCCGGAGTCCAAGAGACAGGAGGCTGCTACAGAGAGACAGAAGACGAGAAGAGTTGCCGAGGAAAAGAGACTTGAGAAGGCCCAGGGTGAGGTAAAAAAGGCCGATGTTTGGAGTCAAGCTGATTCAGAGTTTAATGACTTCCCCATGGCTGATCCGAGTGCTGACCAGGAGAATGGTGACTTTGTCCCTAACCCAGAAAATAATGATTCCAAACCTTCCAGGCATAAGATTCGAAATAGGAAAGATATCCCGAGCATAGCTCTGGCCAGCATGCGACACCACACTGGTCTCAGAGAAACTGCAGAGATAGCAACAGCTGCCTGGATTGACGGTGGTTTGATAGCACTGATGATGTTCACCTGGTGATGAGTCTTAACAAAGTGAGAGAGCTCAGAAACTTGTCCAGTAACTAGAAGGGAACATTAAGGGGATAAGAAAATAGTTGGAATTGCAGTGAACAGGAGAGTATTTGTGGCATTTCCTCCAGCAGAGAAAATGACGTCGAAACCAGCACCAAGTGGTGGCAGATAACATTGTGAACTGGCTCAAAGAGAGGAACGTAGACCAGACCCTGCAGGCCATTGGAGGGGACAGCACCAACACGAACACAGGGTGGCAAGGAGGGGTCATACAGTGGATAGAGCGGAAGATTGGGAGGAAGCTGGTCTGAATTGTTTGTGACCTCCACACCAACGAGTTGCCACTCAGACATCTGATCCAGGAGCTGGATGGCAAGACTCTTTCAAAGAACAGATGGTCTGGTCCTCTTGGCAAGATGATGGACTCTGCCACTGAGTTAGAAATAAATCCGAGCTTTGATAAAATCACAGTTGGCCCTCCACTCGTTGAGCTTGCACATACTGTCATTGACGACCTGAGTACTGACCAGTACTATGGTTACATGATTTGCAGTGCCATCAAAACTGGGGTCATGCCTGATAGACTTGCTTACCTGCAGATAGGTCCAGTCTCACATTCTAAGTGGCTCACAACGGCTCTCAGGTTCTGCAGAATTTGGGTCGCTCATCATAAACTGAAAGGGAACCAGCTTCACAACCTGAGACTTATTGTCCAATTCATCGTGAGAGTCTACTTGCCAAATTGGTTCAACACCAAGGTCAAGTCATCGTTCTCCGAAGGTCCGAGGCATGTTCTCTTCCAGCTTGAGCTCCTGAGGAGTCAGCCAAGGAAGGTTGTTCAGATTGTGGAGCAGACTGTGAGGAGATCTTCCTGGTATGCTCATCCCGAGGCAGTTCTGCAGACAATGCTCTGCAGTAAGGATGAGGAGGAGAGAAGAGTGGCAGTCAAAAAGATCTTGGATATGAGACTTATGAGAGGATCTGGGCATGACAAATCAGTTGGTGACGATTCCTTCAGGGTCAGGAAGACTCCTGAAGTCAATCTAGGTGCCAAGACCTTCACTGATCTCATAGATCTGGATAACATCCAGGCTGGCAGTGAGCCCCCTCTTACCTGCATCCTCACCAATGTTCAAGTCAGAGCTTTCCTGGACAACCCCCATGCATGTCCCTGCCTGGCCCTCGTACACCCAGAGTATAGAGCGTTGTGTACAGCAAGTGAGCGAGGCCAGCAGTCACGTGTACAGCCAGGAGAGGAGGGAAGGCTACATCCGAGCTCAGGTGGTCAGCAGGGAGGTGATGAGTAGAAACAGAAACAAGAAAGACATGTTCTCTATGGTGTGCAGCAACACCGGGTCGTAGTAGTAAAACCGGTTTTTGTATTTGATGATTTTGTTTTCTAAAGGAATATTAAATTTAATAAATGTGTCAAGATCATTCGTTTCACCATTCTGGATCATTTTCATCCTAATAAATTAACCTGATACATTTACTTTACTTTAAATAAGCTATTAAGTGGTGTTGGTAAAAGGGTGGGAATACTGAATTTTCAAAAGATTTCAAGTTAAAATTTACCGTGCAAAAATGAAAACTTTTCAAATCTGAAGATATCACATGATTCTGCACATAAAACTACATCATTAATACCATGGGCCGATTTTTCAAACTCAAAAAAAAAAATTCGGTTCCGTATGACACACCCTACTGGGTATGGTGTTCGGACACTGGGCTGGGTGTGGTGTTCGAACACTGGGTTGGGTGTGGTGTTAGTGAGACTGGGCCGGGTGTGGTGTTGGGACACGGGACTGGGTGTGGTGTTAGGGACACTGGGCTGGGTGTGGTGTTCGGACACTGGGCTGGTTGTGGTGTTAGGGAGACTGGGCTGGGTGTGGTGTTGGGTCACTGGGCTGGGTATGGTGTTGGGACACTGGGCTGGGTGTGGTGTTAGTGAGACTGGGCTGGGTGTGGTGTTGGGACA